TCGTATATGTACATATATATGTGTGTATATACATATATTGTATGTACATACATATTAATGTATGTATGTCTGTATGCAGATATTGTTGCTAACACTGGTACACATACATATCCCTAAATCCATACATATCCACATACTTGTGTACATACATACAGATATGCATGAACGTACATGTTGTATGTTTACATATTATATAATATTCAAATATACATTTATGTGTGCGTGCATGTAAATGAACAAAGGCATATGTATGTATATGGATAAATAATTATCTTTATTTTATATACATACATGTATGTATGTACATATGTATATGTACATTGTGCAAGGTATTTATTGTATTTTTAAATTGAATTTTCAAATGATATTTTTTTAATTTTATCAATTTCCCACAAGAGTAATCTAGTCGATACTGATCGACTACTATGTAGGTACCGTTACCCTGCAAACTGTTCGTATTCCACGCAAACATAACAAACAATGCATACATACATATGTACATATGTATGTCCATACATATGTATGTCCATATGTATGTGTACATACATATTGTATGTATGTACACACATACTCATGAATTCACACACAAGGTCTGCTGACTGCGCAGTTGACGCAGCGATTTCATGTATTATGTTGTTTATTGAATAAGTCCTCTTATAGGTGGACCAACTTTCAGAACATCGCTTTAAAAAGTCTCGTTCATATAAACGGACTAGCGGAACGACGGAACAACATCTGCATACATTTTTATCCTTGTCCATCCATCATGGCGACGAGCTGAGTCGATTTGGCCCCGTCCGTCTGTTTGTCTGTCCGTTTACCCGTATGTATGAACGCGTCGATTTCAGAAGATATAAGAGCTAGGGACTTAAACATTTTTTTAAATGTCCACATATATAGCGCGAATATCGAGTTAATCACAAAAATCGATAACTCATCCCGTTATTTTTTATCGATAAAAACCGTTATCGAAAATCATTTTTAAAATTATATCTCCTACATCTTTAAAGCTAGAGTCTTCAAATTTTAAAAGTACTTATCTGCCACGCCCCCTTCTGCCTGCTACATACATTTCCACAAAACCTTTATACCCTGATTTCCAATGTTCACTGTGTTCAGGGTATAATTATATCTCCTACATCTTTAAAGGTAGAGTGTCCAAATTTTAAATATATATTTATGTAGATGATTTAATTCCATTTCGATTTTTGTTAGAATTTACCCCCCTACCCCTATATTCACCCCCTCACCCTCACCTTTATCATAATCTGAATCACCATAATCATAATCTGAAAGTTTCATGAAGATCGTCCATCGACAAGAAAAGTTATCAAATAATTAAGTTCCCACAGTAAGTCACCACTGCACCCAATGCGTGTTTATGCGTGCGTGCGTATGCCTGTGTGGGTGCGCTTGCGTGTGTGCATGCGTGTGTTTGTGCATGTGCCAATAATTATTGGAATATCAGAAGCTAGAAGGGTTCAGGAGATCTCGTATTCGAGTATTCTCGACTAGAGCTTTCTTACTTGTTTACGTCCCGTCTTGCTGTGCGTCCGTATGCCCGTATGAAAGCAAACCATTTCGACACTATTGAAGCTAGAGACTTGAAATTTTGAATATATGTATGTATATATCCTATGATCTTCCGGAGAAAGCTGAAATTTCGAATACGTGTCAAATCGGATCTGACTAGAAGCTTGAAATGTAGATAGTTAATTAACCAGTGTTGCCAAATCAGCTTTTTTCCGCCAAATCAGGCTTTTTATACCCTGAACCCATTGAAAATGGGAAATCAGGGTATAATAGTTTTTTTTTTTTTAAGTATGTAACAGGCAGAAGGAGGCGAGGCAGACCCCACAAAGTATATATATTCTTGATCAGGGCGACGAGCTGAGTCTATTTGGCCCTGTCCGTCTGTTTGTCTGTCCATCCGTCCGTCCGTCCGTATGTATGAACGCGTCGATCTCAGAAGATATAAGAGCTAGAGACTTGAAATAGGTCCGTGTATATCACGCGCATATCAAGTTTTTCTTTATATATCGATAATTACTCCCGATATTTTATTATCGATTAAAAACCTTATCGAAAGCTAGTTATTTAATTATACCTCCTACACCTTTGAAGCTAGAGCTTCCAAATTTTTAATGTAGACTTATATGTATTTTATATAATTTCGATTTTTGTTGTATTTCACCCCCGCCCCTATATCCACCCCCTCACCCTCACCTTTGTAAAAGGCGTATTTCAAGTACTAGAGACGTGTGCTTTGCAATGTACATACATTTTTACCATATGATTACGCTCTAAAAGTTTCATTAAGATTGTACGTCTAGAAATTAAATTATTCAGCGCAGCCCAAGCGCAGTCGCTGCTTACTGCGCAGTTAGCAGAGCGCGTTCTAATACGTGCGTGTATATGTATGTGTGTCGAAAAGAAGTGCAGACTGATTAGAATATCAGATTAGAGGATTCAGGGTATCTCCTAGTCGAGCAGTCTCGACTAGAGTCTTCTTACTTCTTTTTTAATAATTTAAATATTTAAATATCATATTAAATATATTTAAATATCAAGCAAATCAAAGCAAAAACCATCAGCTTTTTTGTCCGATTTTTTTTTTCACAAAATTTCAGCTTTTTTTAAAAGTATCTTTCCATTAAAAGCAGCTTTTTTTTGCTCAACAAAAGTTGGCAGCACTGCTGATAACGTCCTCTATCGATGATCTAAAAACAATTGTTAAGCGTCTTAAGGAGCGTTGTACACCGAAAAATACCCTGTAATGATCATATTTTTAAAACGTAAGCATTATACATATATACATATAGCATATATGTGTATTAGAAATTTTCTGGAGTATTAGAGCTAGAAACTCAAAAAAACACAACAAGAATATATGCATATATATATATATATACATGTACTAAATAAGGTCGTTTCAAAACAGATAACGAGTCGTGAATGGATATATTGCAGTCGGTAGCTCGGTCCTAAACTACTCTCTTTTAAGTGTTATCGATTAAAAATCTTATCGAATACCACTACCTAGCCCCCCCATCCCCTAAAACTTTACAAAAACGTATTAAAAGTACTAGAAACTCTGTTAAATACACATAAGTACATAAATATATATAAACGTCATTCTCTTGCGCTTAAAGTTTGTTGAAGATGATATCTTCCCGTCAACCATGCCATAAGGAAGTTCACTAACCATGGCCGAAATTGCAGCCAAGGCACAGTCCTATGTATTCTTCTAGTATATGCAGAAAGAGGCGAAGAATCCTTGTCAAGGGCTTCAGGGTTTTTAGGGTTCTCGTACTTGACCAGACTCGACTAAAGTTTTCATTCATGTTTTACTATCAATGTATAATACAATAGTTTTATGCAGTAAAAGACATGTATGTAACATGTATGTACATATGTATTTATCAATGATCAGTACCCTTACTTGTGTGCGTAGCAGCCACACAAATGCTGCTAAAACAGAGAGAGAGTGAGAGAATGAGAGAGAGACAAACTGCCATGCCGACGTCACTCAAATGATTCTATACTATGTTATTTAAATAATTTTCTAAAATCGTTTTGTTTTAATTAAACAGTTAAATGTTTTTATGTTAAAACCTATTACAAAAAAGTCAAAAAGTCAACTGTAAAAATAAAGTTGTTTTTTTTTTGGGCTATCTGCGGCTTAGGTAGAATGATTGCGGACACTCATATATATATAAAGAAAGCAAAAATATATAGCAAGAGAAAAAAGGAGAAAAAAAAAATTAAAAAAAAAAAAAAAAAAAAAAAAACAAGAAATGAAGTAGCGTGTCGACGAGCCGATCTGCATCACCTTGTTAGCACCATGGAACGGATGCTAAAGTTACTGTCCCCGACGACGACAGCGGCAGCGACGTCGGCAGCAACATCAGCAGCCGGTTATTTATCCCGCCCCGCACACCAACATCGGCTTCGCCATCAACTGTAAGCACATGTTTTTTGCCGTCTTATTTAGTTTGTTTATAAAAACAGTGCATGACACACGCATACATAAACCGCACACATTTACAAATAAACATACCTTCAAACATATATAAATACGTTCTTAACGACACATAGCCATATGAACTCACGTATACATACATGTGTACATATGTATATATTTATGTATATATAAATATATATTTATGTATATGTGTGTGTGTGCGTGAGTTTTTTGTGTATGCAGGAAAATGTAAGAATGCTTTAGTCGGATGGTCAGATACCACGTGATTGACAATTCATCTGTATGCCTATTGGTTCTTCTGATAGTCTTAACTATATTTTGATATTCTTAACTATAGATACAAACAAGGCAATATGTCGTCGCATTCCCGCAAAATGATCGTATGTCGACAAATTTAATTTTACAGAAGCTTTTTTACGTATTCTAACCGTTCTCTACGATCATTTCACGGGAATGCGACGATGTATTAGATATAATTTTGGCACTATATTAAAATACTCACTAAATACGGGACTGTGATCCGGCCGCGTCACCGTCTTGCTGCCCTTTTCCTATTAGAATAATAGAATTGGTTAGAGCTCATTTACAAAAATTTATATTACACTTCAAATATCTTATTAATTTAGTCAAAGAGCAACAAAATCATACCTCACTCTCTGTTAAATCAATTAAACTTGACTTTTCTTCGACTAAAAGGTTCTCGGATGATATTTTCTCATCTTCGCGATCACCTTCATCCTTAAATATCTTAACTTCATCCGTGCTGCCTAAATCATCACCGGATGAGCCATGACGCGTATGTGTATGCGGCATGGTTTATATCTTCCGGATTTCTAAATTTTATTTTTAAATATCGCCACGATTCTGATAAATGGCATGATAAATCAGTCCAGATGATCTTAATTGGTTACAGGGATAACTAGACTTGTCCTCCATTTTCTGTACTCCAAGTGCAATCTCACGTTTTCTTCGAAGGCATTGCGTAAAAAGCGTCGTCCATTTTGGTTCCAATTACAATCTGTAAATATGATATTTATTAATAATCAAACTTCACAATTGATCTTAACTGATTTCAAAAGGAAAACATCAAGTATTCTATGATTTTGAACTAAATTGTATTTATTCAAATATTAACACTTTCCAATTTATAGGCATAGCATTGAATAATATTTTCTTCACCCAACCAGTGGGAAGTCAACAGATACGATATAATTATGCACTTTGGTATATATGTAGGTATTTTCGGCTAACTTGAGTTTCAATCAGGACAAGAAAGTCGTAAAAAGGGTGTCTATGTAGTATAGGGTTGCCATCCGTCCTGGAATTCCGGGACATGTCCCGCTTTTGTACGTAATGTCCCGGTGTCCCGAGCTGACACGAAATTGTCCCGGTTCTCTGCTACTTCGATCAAAAAATTCGTCATTTTGACAAAATGCGACTGTAAATGCAAACTTGAAGAAGTTTTTGTCGAGGCAAGTGAAGAATTCTTTTGTGAAAAGCAGCGTTGATGAGGTAGTACTTTTTTTTTGTAACAAGTATGTATTCTTCCTTAAATATTTAATGGTCAATTTTCTCGGTTTGATTAAATCACAGCTCCCTCTTGCCCTCGCCCTGGCACTTTGGATATTTTTTAACTTTTATTTTTGCATGTCTATAGAATTTTTAGGATTACCAATTACAAGGCTTAGTTGAATTCAAAGGTCATTCTATGTATTTGTTTGGGTAATATGTAAAAATAAAGGAATAATAATAATAATAATCGAAATCCAGATATTCAAGCTTATCATATCTAAAACATTTTTGACAACAGAGTCGACATTTATTATTTAGTATATATATTTATAATAGATATATTTTTAATCGATATTTCAGAATATTCTTAATTAAATCTCAGTTCAAGTATAGCCAATACAGAAAATAGTTTAAAATTAGTTTCCCTTGAATTCAATGGATATAATCGTGTGACCCGTTCAATAGCCTAGAAACAACGAAAACTTGCGATTAATTTATTAAATCACATACATATATGTAGAGTTGGGCGATTTTCATTCCGCTGAAAATGTTGGAGTGGAGTTTAAATTTGATCGCGAGGATTTAGGATCAAATATTTAATTCAAACGTAATTGCTTGTAAAAATGTTGCTTAAAATTGTATGGCATAATCTTATGAAAATCTCTCACTCGGGGTCAGAGTACGCACCTCCGCTTAAAGCTGTTTCCCTAATTTAAAATTGATGCAAATGCGTATTAACCAACATAGGGTATCGAATAGTCATACTTTTCCGAATATGAAAGATCCGCGTTAGCGGCAGGTAGGCGATCCATGCATACATAAGTCCCACGTCTAATAACTCTCGTTAAAAGTAAAATTAACGAAGTCTTATGGTAGACAAACCGACCTGGCGATCGACGACGTTCTCTTCCTAGAACAGTTAGTGCTAGTGCTTCAGTGTCTTCCGAAGAGACGAAAACACATGCAAAAGGCAACCCAATGGAATACGAACAAACATTTAAAGCCACACATACATACATTTGTAGATATTTAAACACATACACGTGCAAGCATATCGTAGCGTTCCATAGAGAGAGCGAGCGAGAGAGAGAGTGAGAGAGAGAGAGAGGTGTGTTGGTGTATATTCGTAGGGCCATGTGAAGTTGGAACCTCGCATCGCATACACACCATGCTTACAAACATATTTACGTACAAATATATAGAAATCAGGCAACAGTTTGCGATAGCGTTCGTGTATGTGTATGTGTATGTGTACACTCTCAGCAGGGAATAAGGCTAACTATTAGTTCAAGGTAACAAGCGAACCCAAAACCACGACGACAACAACCAACAACAGCGGTGGCATGAAACTAATGATACGAGTTTCTATTTAGAGACGTGATTGTAGGATTTCAACAGGTAGAAAAAACGAACGCAACAAAACAAAAAGAAGAGAATATGAAAATGTTTCGTATTTTCAGCAAATAAACGAATACACACATAAACAAACAACGATCAGTGAATGTGTGTGTGTATGAACAACTGTGTGTGCGTCATTTAATATTTGTACATGTGCGTGTATTCGAATTCGAAGAATTTACGTTAAAAAAAATTAACTACGAGTGTGAGCACATTTCTATGCATGCCTGTATATTTATTTCTATGTGCATGTGCATGTGTATATAATACAAAGCGGTTGTATCCACTCTTCGTTAAATTGTTTATGAGTACTTCGCGTAAAAACAGAAGCTTGCATGAAGTCGGCCAAAGAATGTATATTTGTAAATTTGCCGTCGGTATAACAGGTATACGAACTTATTTTGCCAGCAAGCCTTTTTGTTTTTAATTTATTTAAATTATTAATATTTTTATTGAAGTTGGATGCTTTAACTTTGGCACAAGAACCTTATAATAGTTTGCAATATACATTAATCAATTTTCGCACTCATTTGATACTTGAGTATTTGTATCTTATTTTTTATTATTTGTATATACTTACATACATGTGCGCACTCCGATATAATCGTGCATGTGTGGGCATTCAAATACAAGTGTATACATGTATATTCGTGGATTGTAATCATTTAAAGATTATATTGCCTACACATTTAAGCAATGCACACATAATGGCCTGAATTTTGATACAAGAATTATAAAATTTAGCTTTTTAGCGCTAATATAACTTTTATGCATGTTAACTTTCATTGGTCACACGCATTTGCCGCTACACAACGCATACATTTACACAGACGCATACACGCGCGCGCACGCAAAATACACAATCAAATACAGACGATGACGATCGCGAAGCCAAAGCCAGCCACACTTTACACATATGTGAACAGATACTCAGCCAGATACAGTCATATGCATGTATGCATCAGTATCTGTTAATTTACATATATATACATGTATATATATATATGCATTCCTCTATATATATGCCATGTATCTTGATTTTGTTAAGCATAAAATCAGACACGCAACGCGACGGTGCGATCCTTCATTTATAGAATTTTTGCCTGAACATTTCCAAATTAAAATATATATTTCACAATCAATTTGTCACTAAGACCACTATTTTTGATTCAATTATAATTCAAATGCGCTAAATTAATAATTAAAAACACTTGAAAATATCACACAACCGCTTTCAACCTCGCGCAACATAAACTAAAAATTAACAGAGCTTCGATGCTTCCGTAACGCAACTGAATGCTATAGTTAACAGTAAGCGTTGAAGGGAAATTTTAAAAGGGCAATGTTAACTATAACAGCGCAAGTGTAATGTAAAACAGCTGGTGCATATCAAATATTTTTAAAAGGGCAATGTTAGACAGAACTAGCAACTGTCATGCTTTCAACGCTGGTTAAAAATAAACAGCTGTTGCATGAAATTTTGGCTATCGATAAAAATGTATGGAAAAACTTTATCATCGATATTTTCTTACACAGTATGTAGTCTAGTATTACCACTAACCACAGAACTAGACTAGAACCACGATTGAGTGAGTCTTTTATCAGTGCTCTGGTTAGTGGTATTACTGTCGACCGACTCACCGGTTGTTCCACCAAAAATTAACAGCTGACATAAATTGGAATAATACCGATATATTTGAAACAAAATTTGACTTAAGCAGGACCAGACCTCCACTTATAGTTAGATTTAAACTTATGACGATAAAATAACTTTATTCAACTAAAGGTTTATATGTCAATAATTTGTATTTTAATATATCAACAATTTAAACCTGCGTAAAGTCGCCCATGTGCTTCAAATAAGTGGGATATTATCTAAATATAAGAAAAAGACGAAACTTTGGTATTATACATAGTTCTGATCACGTACGCTACTATATATACTAAATTTCAATTTATTAGTTCTACCATCTTAATATAAATGATTTACATGATTTATATTTATAAAATCGTTCATCATTAATTCACTGCTATATATATATGGATCTCAGCCTTCACGCTATAGACAAAAATTAATGAGGTCAATTTCACAATAACTAATCCTTAATTTAATAACTAAATTGGAACAGTTCTTCTTCATGGTAGATCGAAGCGAGCTGGGTAAGTTTGTCATCACAGTAGGATCTATACTTAAGAATTTACTATATGCGCACCTTGTGGATATCCTGAACGGACATTGATAATCAGTAACCTGCGTAAAAGACTATATTTTAATATCAAGCATAATTTAGTATATTCAAATAATACGTTTTGTCTGACTTCCATTCCGATTACATTTTTTCAGTTACTTCAAATTTCATTTATGGTTTAAATGATGGGGAATCCGTAGATAAATCATCATATATCATAATATATTTTACAAATAGATGTCAGTAAAGCTAAATTTTTTCTTTTGACGCACCTTAGACAATTAAGTATCCTTCAATCATACTGCACATAACAGACTCAGATTTACTGTAAAAATAAATAAAATTATGATATCAGACAATGCCTTAATAGTAAATGTTTACTAATAATAAATAAAATCAGCTGTTTAGTATTTTGCGTTGGATTGGAACAGTTCTCTTCATGGTAGATCGAAGCGAGCTGGGTAAGTTTGTCATCACAGTAGGATCTATACTTTCTTAGGAATTTACTATATGCGCACCTTTTGGATATCCTGAACGGACATTGGTAATCAGTAACCTGCGTAAAAGAGTATATTTTAATGTCAAGCATAATTTAGCATATTCAAATAATACGTTTTGTCTGACTTCCATTCCGATTACATTTTTTCAGTTACTTCAAATTTCATTTATGGTTTAAATGATGGGGAATCCGTAGATAAATCATCATATATCATAATATATTTTACAAATAGATGTCAGTAAAGCTACATTTTTTCTTTTGACGCACCTTAGACAATTAAGTATCCTTCTTCAATCATACTGCACATAACAGACTCAGATTTACTGTAAAAATAAATAAAATTATGATATCAGACAATGCCTTAATAGTAAATGTTTACTAATAATAAATAAAATCAGCTGTTTAGTATTTTGCGTTGGATTGGAACAGTTCTCTTCATGGTAGATCGAAGCGAGCTGGGTAACTTTGTCATCACAGTAGGATCTATACTTTCTTAGGAATTTACTATATGCGCACCTTTTGGATATCCTGAACGGACATTGATAATCAGTAACCTGCGTAAAAGACTATATTTTAATATCAAGCATAATTTAGTATATTCAAATAATACGTTTTGTCTGACTTCCATTCCGATTACATTTTTTCAGTTACTTCAAATTTCATTTATGGTTTAAATGATGGGGAATCCGTAGATAAATCATCATATATCATAATATATTTTACAAATAGATGTCAGTAAAGCTAAATTTTTTCTTTTGACGCACCTTAGACAATTAAGTATCCTTCTTCAATCATACTGCACATAACAGACTCAGATTTACTGTAAAAATAAATAAAATTATGATATCAGACAATGCCTTAATAGTAAATGTTTACTAATAATAAATAAAATCAGCTGTTTAGTATTTTGCGTTGGATTGGAACAGTTCTCTTCATGGTAGATCGAAGCGAGCTGGGTAAGTTTGTCATCACAGTAGGATCTATACTTTCTTAGGAATTTACTATATGCGCACCTTTTGGATATCCTGAACGGACATTGGTAATCAGTAACCTGCGTAAAAGAGTATATTTTAATATCAAGCATAATTTAGTATATTCAAATAATACGTTTTGTCTGACTTCCATTCCGATTAAATTTTTTCCGTTAATTCATATTTCATTTATGGTTTAAATGATGGGGAATCCGTAGATAAATCATCGTATATCATAATAGATATTCAAAAGTAATTTATGTATTTATCGAAATTCCGACGAGCCTTGATTTTGAGTCTCCTATTGAACACTAGGTCTTTCACATTTTCAAGTGGATAGGCTGAAAACGATTGGGAAACAAGAATTAATTTCGAGCTGAATAAAAAATATAAAAGTCGAATTTGTAAAATATTCAGTTGCGAAGGTGTAGAGTTTCATCAAATTTCTTCAAGAGTAGCAAATAATGAAAATCATCAGCAGAGATAATCGAAAAATAGTTTATAATTTATTTGACTCACCATGGCAACTTGTTGGTAAATTCTGCATTGCTTCCGTATCTGGAATGGAAAACGATCATGGTGAAACAGTCGAAATTTTTATTTTTATTTTTTTCTTGAAACAGCAAAATCTCAGTTACAATGGTGAAAATGTTCATCAATAAACGTGTTTCAAGAGTAGCAAATAATAAACTATATCATCATGTATATATATATATATATATATATATACACAGCTGTGAAAAATAAAATAGCACCACTTGCAATTGCAAAGTTTAAGAAGTTCTCCGCGATGAATTTATCAGTGTATCGATCTACTTATTTTTTTATAAAGCAGAAAACAATAAATGATTGCAACAAATAACAATAATCACAGAAATATTTAACGTTTTTATATACTTTAAAAAGGTCTCAAAAAGTTCAAGTGGTTCTATTTCATTTTTCACAGCTGTGTGTATATACAATCTATTTATTATAATTGTATGTTGACTTACCATATTCAAATCCTATTAGAACTTATTGATTGGCCTGAAAATGCATAATATAGTTAATACTTTATAGTAAATATGCGGATTATATTTGTTTTACTGGATTCAGTTGCTTTAAGAATTTCCATCAAAATTTGATCAGAGACGAAAAATAAAATACATCATTTTGAATATATTTAAAAGCGTAATCGAATATATTACTCACCATTTGAGAGCTGTAGAGGTTGAGCTAGTATAGTTCCTGCAAAGAAAGAGAGCCCCTATTCCCTACAAATTCCCAACCACCCCCGCTCCCTGCGCCAAAGACGAAATAGCCACGAGCAAAGTAGCAAGAGTAGAAGAGCTTTACTTTTCTTTTTTTTATATTTATTTCTTGTTTATATTGTAAGACATGCCCGAGCTTGAAGTCATTCACACAGTAGGCGTCCACTCACTGACCCGCAAATCGAATAATTTAAACAGCCTCCTGTACGGGAGGCTCATAGCCTTCGGGGCGGTCAATGACAGCGCCCTCAGCGGAAACAACAGCTTCGGTTGTCTTGCCACCACCATCACCATGGAGCTCCAGAAGCTTGGATATATCGAAGCGAGGCTTCTTGAGTACCTTCACCTTGCGAATGTAGACATCATGTAGTGGATAGATGCGCTGGCAGCTCTTCTCAATATCCTTAGCAATCGAGTCCAAGGCCAATTTGTTCACCAGCTGCTTCAGATCGGCGCCGCTCACTTCATTGGTAATGATGTCGGTCATGCGGGCCCGAATCTTACGCACCTGCGACTGCTGGGCATAGCAGGTCTTGCGCTGCGACTGCTGATCCTTGAATGTGAATCCAATACAGAACACACGAAGCAAGTATCCGTCTACGGTCTTTGCCTCCACAATGGCCTCGATGAGAGTCTGCCATTTCTTTACCATTGATCTATGTTTTTTTCAGTGAAACATTTGAATATACATATATGTATATATATATATACATATAAATACATATGTATTTATTCGTCTGTCATACCTGTACTTGTCTGTTGTCAAGTCCATACCATGGAAATTGCAGAGCACATTGCGATCCTGCACATCTTCGGCGATCAGACGAAATTTACGGAATGAACGCTCGGGGTCAATGTCTTTTTGCAAGTCTGCAAGCGAAACTTCAAACACACGACCTTTAAGGTAGTCGGAGGCAATGCGTTGGCCCTGCGTACGGTTCACGAGGGTTTTGCCAATCTGCCTGGTTTGAAACATGTTTGGCGCTTTGACATCGTACCAATCTTTGCGCGAAAATGGATCAACTACCTTCTTTTTACCACCTTTTTTGCCGCCTTTCGAGAGACCCTTATTTTTGCCGACCGCCATGGTAAACTTCTAAACCGGAAAAGGTCGAGCCACGTTGAGTAACTGTCAAAAGAAAGGAAACCGAAAATAGTGTTGTTAAATCCCACAAAGATGCTTCAGAGTTGCCTTGCACACAACTGATATCCGATTATTCTTTTGGATAACTAACTGAAATCACTAACCATAGAACATGGTTAGTGCTAAAATGGAACTGAAAATAGTATTTTATATGTTTACATTTATTTTTGTCAATATTGACTATGTGTATCGGAGTAAATTAAATATAAATGTATATAAATATATTTTATATTATATTGTGAAAAATAACAAATATTTAATTAAAATGTAAAAATTATAAATGCATAGTTATTTCATTTATAAATATTCTTTACCTAATATATGATAATCTTTTTTAGCAACAATTAGTTTATCGAATATCAACAATCGGTCATTTTTCTTTCCGATTCATTTTGTATTGGTATACATACGGCGTTTAGATGGTTTGTTTGTATTGAAATTTGGTATTTATCAATTTGTACAGATTGGGCACACACTCTCAGTTATTCATTGCATCCATTTTTGTTCTGCTTGGTTCCTTTTTAAATTAATTTTACAATGAAATGTTTCTAATTCTTTGTGCTATAAACAATCTTACACAATTCATTAATTATATACAGTGCTAGTAAAAAATATATTATTTAAGTGGCAATCCGTAACGACTCCAGTACAATAATTATGGGTACGGCTTAGTGATATTGGGCTTGATTCGTTCAGTTCGATGCTATCATTTGGAGCTCACGCTTAATTCTTGATCTCAAAATATGCTTTCTTTACCATACCATATATATATATATATATATACGTGTGTGTAAACGTAACAACGAGTGAAATATACAACAAATTTATTTACCAAGAGCAATTCATATAAATGTGCTATTTGTCTGTCACCCAGCCCTCGCCTGAACGCAACAAAATCTGCTGCTGCCGAATATACCTCTGAATTACACACCTATACGTACATACACATAAACACACATATTTGGAGAATCCTGCAATGTACAACAATTGAAAAAGAACAATAACAGTCATGGATACAAATGATTTTGCCTATGAACATTACGGTATATTAGTTCAAAATGATGAAGAATTGCCCAAATCCCTAAATGTTCAAAACCTAAGTAATGGTAAATGAAAAACATCTATTTTATAAATAAAATATATAGAGCGATGTAAAATCGTCGGTCCCTTGGGCGTCGTTATAACCGGATTCCCGATATATATATGTATATATAAATATATACATAGTGGAATCCGGTTATATAAAATTATATACATATATTTATAAAAATATATTATACATATAAATATGAATAATATAAAAAAAATATATATATACATATATATAAATATATACATAGTGGAATCCGGTTATAACGACGCTCAAGGGACCGACGACTGACGACCGTCGCTATACCCGTTGGACGCTTAAACCAGAAGGAGCAAATAAAAAGGATTTTCTTTTCTTTTTAAATGTGTATATATACAGTCGACTCTCGTCATTTAAAACCTGCGATATTTCGAATTTCTCATAAATTCAAAGTAATCACGCGTCCCCTACAAATTCTCTTTATATTATATTTTTATGCACTCAGTAATTCGAACTTAAAAATATTTACTAAGATGCGGTAATTCGTACTCATGTGTTTGTACGATCTTTGAATTGCTTCCGCACTAATCGCTTCGTTAGTATACATATTAAAATTTTGTATGAAATATGAGTCCTAAAAAAAGTTGAAAAAGTAGAAGGAGGGGAGAAGAAAAGCAACAATGTGCTTCGGACCAAACCCTTATAAATGAGTTCTTTTCTAAGATTCATTAATTTGTACATACATTACAAGTATGTCAAATATTATTTTCTCTCAAAAATGTTGAACCACTTAATATTTCGAACATTCGATAATTCGTAGTAATTTA